TATTTTCCCGACATGAAACACTTGGCCAAGGGCAGCTTCGTCGGGCCGCAGTTAGCGTTTCGTCTCTTCTAAGATCATAGCGCAGGTGCAGTACGTCAACCAATGGCGGATGATATTCAATCATTTGATAGGGTCTTGAAGTCAACGGTGCGTTGGCCGCGAGGCATTCCACGTGGATCCCCGCCAGTCCGCCAACGCTCTGGTCCCTAGAATTGTGTAGTCGTAAATAGCAAAATACCTACTCCGCACGTAACCAGTCAAAGGTATCAAGAAGATCAAAGTTGAAATCAAGCTGCATCGGCATACCCCAATCGAGTGTCTCCAAGGCACCTCCGCCCGCTAAAGGAGCATTGAGATTATGATCGAGAACGCCTTGAATGACGGCCTTGCAATCGGCACAAAGATCCGCGTTAGGAGCTGGCGGCCTCACCCAGTCAAGAAACCCAATAAGAAGGCTCAATTTCTGTATAATCATCGATCGACTCAATTTGGCACAATCCGGATGAATACCGTGAAAGGTCGGTCGCAACAGCTCCAGACAAAGGATGCCTCCCCCAGGAGCAGCGTAAGCCATTAACTAACCCGTTAGTCGGTCCCACATGACAAGTTCAAAAGACTTACCAGCCATTCAAAGTCCCTTCGGACTTCTGCAAAGCGATCCTGCTGAGTCCAAAAGATCAGCGTCAGAGTGACCATCTCAAAGCTGATTATCAGCAGCCGGCTCTGGTCCGAATGTCCGAGGCGCAACAATAACCTCTCCGCAAAGAAGAGGTTCTGCAGGTGCTCCAATCGAATTAAAATCCTCGTGTAGATTGTATCTACTTCAAAGTCCGGGCTGTCAGAATCTTCTGGATGGTGAATAAGACTCTGCGGGAACTTGGCCACGATTCTCTCCGCGCGGGCTTTGATCTCGCTACATGGATCAGCGGACTCGGCATATCATGATGAGACAGACATACCTGAGGCTTTCCAAAGTAGCCTTTGAGCCGTCCTCAAGCGCAAATTCAAGCAGCTCATCTTTAATAACAGCAATCTGCACCCGCGCCCGAATAAGTGTTGCCGAATGCATCTCGCCTTCTCTATTCCACCCATCCTCATCCAACGTCTTTCTCGCACGGCTTATAGTCGCCTGATCCGCCAGTAAATCCTCGTCTCGAATATCCAGAGGGAGAGGAGTCGAAAAGTATCGGCGGCCGATAAGGGGCGGTCTCCCCGTGAAGGAGACCATCACCTTGTCGATGGTAAAGATGCGTGCAGCTAGGCGACGCTTGCTCTCTAAGCGAAGCGATGGCACATAATCTGCATTCTCTGACCCGACGTGCAATCCTAGAAAAGTCATCAATGAGATTGTGTCGGCATGGTAGCGCCAGCATAACAAGCCTGACTAGATCAGCGTTGAATCATGTCACCGAAGGTAAACATACCTGCATCTCCTGTAATGAGGGACTCAATGGTCGCCCTTCGGTAACAAAGATACACCAACAAGTCGTTGGCAGTAGAAAAGTGCCGGGCCAATTCGATACAATATCCGAGGCTTGTCGCGATAGTCCGGGGGTTCGCGTTAGGTGAGCCATCCCAGTAGGTCCAGATCAAGCCCAGCGATTCCCAGCGAAGGGCTGAGCAACCAAATTGGTCAAGCCAGTCCTGGCCGGTTGGGTACTCGTCCCGGAGTGGACGGGCAGTATTATTGCATATAGTGAGGCCCATCTCCTCCAGTTTCAGCGTGTCCTCTCGGTTGGCCAGATGCTCACCGAAAGACTCTTGAAGTGATCGAAGAGTTGCCTTGACAGAGGCGATGATCCAATGGTCGGCGCGGCAATGGAATCGATAGGACAAGACATCGTCAGATGGTCCTGGAAGGTTGCGGAGGACAAAGAGACACATTTCCCAAAGCGAAGAGGGCATCTCAATCAGACAAGCCCGAACTCGAGGACCACGTCTCGCGGCAGATTCAATATCGAGCGTAGATCCATGGACGAGAGACAGACTATTCCGAGTTTCCTCAAACACGGCGTTGTGGCTA